CCACCTGCCTCCCACCTCTCCCAGCCGGAGCTGGGCGGCCTCGGGCTCTGCCGCAGGAACCAGCAGGGTCCTCCCAGCACAGATGCCCATGTCACGCCTCTAATCGCTCCCCTCCCCGCCCCCAGCCCAGGGGCCGCATTAATCTTTCACGGTATTTTGCAAACATCCCGAAAACCCAAGGTGGACTGGGGAGTTGGTTCGAATTGTCCTAGGTCAGACCACGAGTCAGAACAACCTTTGCAGGCTGCTCGCACCGGCACCAGCACCTGCACCGGCACTGCACCGGGCAATATTGCTGCGGGCGGTGGCCAGGGTTTGTTCCCCGCCACCTTGGCCTTTCAGAGCCGGCTGGCCCTGACCACCGGGGGCGGAGGGCCCTGGCCTGGGCTCATCGCGGTGACTCACTGGATTTCTGACCTCAAATCAACCACTGCTCACTCCCAGGGGCAGCCCCATGGCCAGGATTTGGGTCTTTGAGGGTCTCCAGGATTTAGAAAAAATTCCACATTAGGATCCCTGTGGTGGTCTCTGCACTGAATTGTTGGGTGGGGGTACCTGTGAAGGGACAGCTGGGCTCTCCGGTGCCCCCGGGTGGGGAAGGTGGTCTCCAGGAGTGGGTCCTCCACACAAGGGGGATTAGCATGTGCCAGGCAAAGGCAGAGCCACACACTCCGGCCCTTTAATATGGCCCGGGCAGAGCAGTGGTCTTAGCCCTGGGGCATTAGGACTTTTCTGACTGTGGGAGTAACACCAGTACTTGGCTTTGGCAACCTACTCTTTTGATTTATTTGTGGGGTGAAGACTTTTGGAGGCCAAGAAATCAGGGAGGCTGGGGCAGGACAGCGGTGTGAGACACTGAGACATCAAAGGAGGCTGGTCCACCTTGCCCTGGTTACCTGGAGCAGTGGCTGAGCTCGGCTGGCCAACCGCACAAGGACTTCAGAAGTTTGTTTCCCAAGGAAGCTTTGGAGAGTTCAGTAGGATTTTCTTGAGGCGGCTAACGAGGACCAGTGGTTAAGCCCTGCCGGCTTGGTCAGCATTTCTAAGAAGGAAAGGCCGACACTTACCTGCATTTCACCTCCTCTTACCTCCGAGGACCCATGGTGATCGGCTTTATGAGAAGGTTGGAGAGGTACACCCCCTTACATCAGACCCCAGGGCTGGAGGGAGACCCTCTGAATATGTGGTGGACACATCGTCCCTGTACTTCTGAACCTTGGGTCTGGCCCACCCTTCTGGTCAAAGTGAGGAAGGCTGAGGTTTGGGCAGGTGGTGGGCCGTGTGGGGGACTTACAGGGGAAGCCCTGCCGGCAGGGGCAGGGCGGGCTGCAGAAGCCACTCGCGGAGAGTTCTCGCCCAGCTGTTCATGAGGTCCAGCCGGGCGCACTGAGCTGCTCCCTGCTGTCCGCTATGCCCAGTGAGCTCCCCTCTCGCCCACACCCAGGCACAGGCTGTCTTGATGCTGATTCTATTCAGAAGCAAAGGAGGTCCTTCAGGGCCTTTTGTTTTATCTCTGCAGACGTTCCTAAGCCAGTTTTGCAGGAAGGACTAGCGTTGCTGGAGAAGGTGATCTGCTGCAGCAGGAAAGGCTGAGAATACAATTTGGATATGACATCTCATTATAGCCTGTCAGCTTTTTAATTTTAATTTTTTTGTTAATCTGGAGAGGCATAAAGTAGAAAGCACAGCATGGTTCAGAACTACACTTCTCAGATCATTTTTTGTGGTGTTAAATTAAAAAGTACTCCATATAGCTGCTTAGGAAATTAAAATAGAACAGAAACCTAAGTGAAAAGTGAAATTCTCTTTCACTCCTTTTTTCCCCCCCGAAAAGCACTTCTTATTGCTGGTTTCTTATCATTCCTCCAGGAAAAACAGGCTTTTACCATCATTTATATATTTTTCTCTCTGTGTGTTACACATTGTTTGTACTGAAATTATACTACCAAGTCATTCAGGGCTTTGCTTTTTTCATTGCATAATATATGTTTGGAAGATTTTTTCCATGTTGCTGTATCCTGATCTCCTGGCTTATTTTAAATAGCCGTGTAGTATTCCACCAGATGCCCTGCAGAATTGTCCCTGATGGGAACAGTGGTTGTTTCCAGGTGATGTTTATTACCATGTTGCCAGGGACATTCTTCTCTCTTTATATTGCCACCCTGCATATAAATATATTCATAGATTAAATGTCTGTACGTGCACTTACATTTTTGACAAAAATGATCATTACCCTCTCACAAGGCTACACCAGTAGATGCTGCTACAAATAGGTGAATGGCGGGCACGTTTCAGTACACTCCTATCACGATACCCCTGATGTTTTTTGCCAAAAAACACGGTGGAAATAATAGTTAATGGCTCTGTTTTGTTAAATTGTCAACAAGATTTAACATTTTTCATAAAATTATTGACCATTCTACTTATTTTTAAGTAAAAAGCTCTTCTCATATTTCCTCTTTTCTATTGGGTTGTCAATCTTTGTTCTTATTAATTTGATGAGGCGTCAGCCTTTTGTAAGATTCAGTTGGACTCGCAGTGTTTCATTAAGGTATTATGTGCGCCCGAGGTGAGCCAGTGGGGACCAGCGGGAGCGAATCAGGAGACCGAGGCCGATCATGATGGAGACCCTCAGAGGCCGTCCCACCCTCACCAGCGAGGCCCTTGTTCCACAGGAAGCAGTGTGCTATTCCGCAGAGTACCGGGAGTTCGACTGCCGCGAGGCTGCTCTTTTAAGCTTCTAATGAACTGGAGCGAAATATTTGTGACTAAGGTTTTGAAGAAGAATGCAGTTTGGACAAGAAGTGGGGAGAAGGTTTCAGCAGGGAGTGGGGTATTATGGCAAAAAATGTGGCCCTGGAGAGTGGAATAATAAGTAGGAGGGGCTCCCTTTAGTAGATGGAGTTTTTTAAAGCCTAAAGGATCTTGCCTCTTTGGGACTGAGGTCCTTCTGAGGGATGTCCGGGCATTGTGGCTCACCGGCTGCTAATGCCGGACGCGCAGCGATTCTGAGCCCAGAGCCCATGGCAGGTACAGCATTCACTGGCTAATGGGAACTTGCTCATTTGTTTTCCTAAGGAGCCATTGTGGACTGTCAAGTAAATGGTGCACATTTGGAAAATGATCTGAATGCACATTTGGGGCTAAAGTCTGTTCCGGCTTTATAGGCGCTTTGGAGGCTGCTGGGAGGACAGTGGAAAGATGCCCTTCTTTTTAGGGAAGCAGAAGCAGCGGGCCCTTTCTGAGCCCGGTGAGATGGTGGGTGCCCTCTGAGCGTGGCCCTGTGTAAGTCTGCTTGGAATTCGGGACAGCCACTACTGGGGCAGATTCTTGGTACTGACATCTATATAACAGATCCGCTACAGTGCTGATGAGCTGTGACCAACGATAATTAATATTCATCTGTAAACTTCTTACCTCGTCGTGTCCTGAAGTTCTAGGAGAAAAGTGCTGTGAAAAGCTCTTGGTGTTTTCCTTTCCTTCTCCATCCCCAGCCTTTAACCCTTGTTGTTTGTAGAAATACAGGCAAGTAGACTAACAGGTGAGCAAAGGGAAGCAGCAGCTTCTATGCAAGGCTCTGAGGCAGGGAGTGAGGTGCATTGGACAGAGTGCAGCTGGGAGCTGGGAGCTGGGAGCTGGGAGGTGGATGAAGCCTCTACCTCAAGCCAGTGGCCCTTGCTTGAGACCCGAATTTCTCGACAGGAGAACTTGGCTGTCTTGGGAAGTAAGGTCGCCTCCCGCCCTATGAAATAGGCATAGTTGGGGCTAAAGTCATAAGTTATTGGGAGAGACAGAGCACAAGAGAGTGGAAAAGAAGGGGTTTAATAAGAGGAGCAGAGAAAGACACTTTGGGGCAGTCAGAGCTCTGTCCGGAGGGGACGGGTGATGCCTTTGAATGAGCCTGTGTAGCCAGTGGCTGGTGTGAAGACTGGGGCCACCTGCTCAAGCTGATCCCTTTGCTCCCAGCAGGCACTGCGCCCTTTGGCAACCACCCTCCCGGAGATTTTGACGATGGGTTCCTGCGCAGAAAACAGCGCCGGAACCGGACAACCTTCACGCTTCAGCAGGTAATGATGGTGTCTTCCGCAAGGTAGCTGTCTCCTGCCTGCGGAAAAATCAGAGTCTCAGCTGCTCTCCTTTGTCCTTTAGAGTAAGGCCAACTGATCATGTTAACTGGATCCTTCTGTTTTCTCAAACAACTTATGTGTCAAGGAACCTGTTTCCGGGAGAGGGCAGAGGACTTAGATTATGATCCCAGATAAAGTGAAGAGGCAGTACTGATTGCACCCATTCGCCCGGGGCTGATAGTTTGGGGAGCATTTTAACATCAGCAATGTCATTTGAACCTTGAGAAGGCAGGAAGGACATTCTTGTCCTTGGGTCGGTAGATGAGAAGGCTGGAACCTAAGAAGTTGGTGGATCTGTAGAAGGTATTGTTGCCCTAAATGGAAGGGCTACAGTTGCAACCCTGATATTGTGTTGCCCGGCCCTGGCCCTGCTCTTAGACCTGCTCAACTTCTGGAGCAAACTGGAGCCAGGAAGTGCTCACCCCCTCACCGGCCGTTTCCCTGGGACTGGCCGGGAGCAGCTGCAGGTGGTTCTGCTCCTACACCCGGAGTGGAGGCTGGGCGGATTGCTCTCAGTCACAAGGCCACCCTCCCGTTTTGATTCTTCTGAACATATTGAAATGCAAACGCATATAAATACTCGCACTTCTCTTCTTACTTCTACTTCTTGGGGGAGCATTGAGGTTGTGAGCAAGACTTAGCTCCTAAGTTATCAGTGGTTGAAATTTTAATTCTGTGGGATCTCTTCAAACAGCTCTTTCCCCCTCTTCCTTGCCGATTTGATCTGTGAAACAGCTTCCTCACCACGGTTAGCAAATGTGAACTATGCTCTGCTTCCTCTCACCTAGCCACAACCTCTCATCAGTAAATAGTCCTTCCTTTTACCAGCTGGAAGCTCTGGAGGCAGTTTTCGCCCAGACGCACTACCCCGATGTATTCACCAGAGAAGAGCTGGCCATGAAAATAAACCTCACGGAAGCCAGAGTGCAGGTGAGCCTTCTGTTCAATTATTTAACTCCCTAATATTAAAACTGGCAAACTTTTTTTTTGACATCATGACTGCAGAGTGCACATTTGGCCAAAGAAAGCAAATGAAGACTATCTGTCATTTTCATGATGCACTTTAATAACATCAACATAATGTGGAATATTAGATTAGGTTGATTAATCGGTCATTCATAATTAACTAGTGATAATGTTCTACACTAATTTGTCCGCGTCTCTAAGGTACTAAATTACATCAATGCACATCCATTTCCTTGCTTTGGAAAAAAAAAAAAGAGCTGAGATGCTATTCTCAAAGCAGCTCTGACCACTCTGGGCGAAGGCCGGTCAATTGCAGAGAACTGTGTTTTCAGATGGGAACAGGGTTAGGATCTGCTTTCCAGAAATTGCATTATGGCCAACTTTTCCCCGGCACGCGGACTCTTTTAGGGAAGTGAATCCGAAGAACGTGTGCAATTTAAAAATCTTTAGAGGGCGGCAGCGAAGGGCTGCTGAGAGACGAGCGTGGCCTGCAGTGACCGGCTCAAAGCAGGCTTTCTTTTTAGAAGCCACACGGCGGTCACGTTTAAGTGCACAGACCCGCCGAGCCCAGCAGATGTGCCCGCGCACAGGGGGGCACGCTCACAGCGCTGCCTCTCCAGGCCAGCTAGTCTTTGAGCACAATTATATATTCATTTTATTTATGGGGTTTCCTCCATGCTGTTTTTGTTCTTTTTTTATGTAGGGGCTTGGGGTTAAGACTATGCAAAGATCTAATTGTAGGAAATATAATAGTTTGCTTTCGGTTCCCCTGGGTCATGTTAGTATCTCTTAAAAACCAATGGCTGAAGAGAGATAATGGAATTCTGAGCAGTAAATTGGGGGTTGTAAACAAATTATTTCCCCTATAATCAGATTATGTGATCCTGATGATTAAATCTGAACATGAATCATTGGTCATATGTGGGCAAATTAAACTGATTATTATTTGGAAATGAAAATCTCCTTTGGCCAGGATGCAGTGTCTCCTTTCTTTTTCTAATGCCAGCTTGCCAATAGCTGCCTAAAGACCGCACTGCAAATTGAGATAAATGACACAATTATTGAGCATTCAGAAGTGGAAGATCATAACTTCTCCCTGAAAGGTGCAAGGGTGAGATAGGGGTGGTGACAATTAATGCTGGGAATTGTTGTTGAGGCTGTTGTTGGCTATTATGCAAACAGACAATGGCTGGGAAGCATTTGTTTCTGAGCTCCGAGTGGGGACACGGGCTCCGGGCCTCGGCGGCGGGAAGGGAGATGTGTTTACATTTACACTGCTTGCTCATTCAAATATGATTAATGTTCTATAAAGCAGGGTCTTAATCGAAGCTGATGTTGTCAAACAATAACTAAATAGGGAAATAAACGACTCCATCATGCTCTTTCCTCAGAAGCAGGCGAACTGTCAGTGCAAAGTCATTAAAATATGATAATGAAAAATAGCTCAATTAAATGTTGTCATAGCTGTGACCTTCATTCAATTAAGACCCAAGAAAGTGTCTGCATTTTGCTTTGCATTTAACTGCCCTAAATTTAGAATATAGATAAAATCATTATTCAACGGTTGCTGATATGTGCAATTAAAAGCCAACTAGATTTAAAAAGAGAGAAAGCAAGACCGATAAAGGAGGATGAAATTCAGAGGCGGAGTGGGCTGGCAGGGCTCAGCCTCGGGACCCAGGGCCAGGCTGCCGGCAGGGGGAGAGGATGCCCTGGGAATAGGAGGGAGGTCTACCAAGCCTTGTTTTTTAAGCCAGGAATTGTCTCCTAGGAGAAGGGACAGAGGATTTGCAGGGAGGAGGAAAGAGCAGCAGGGTTTCACTGACCTCTGGGAACACGTTGGCCGGGGCTGCCCGCTGCCATGAGGCGCTCCTGCACATGCAGCCTTGGTTTCCAAGGCTTCAAGGATTCCACACCCGCCTCTAAGGAGGTCCTTAGAGCAGGCGAATCATTATTCGCTGCCTCCCAGCCTGAGGACGGCAGAGATGGTAACACCAGCTAATGCTGACCCAGTGCTGGGTCGCTCTGCACCAGGTACCGAGCCCAGTGTTTTGTGCATCTGTTGTCTCCTGTAACGCTGGGGTGGCCACTATTATTACCCCGATCTGGATCGTGGCCCCTGGCCACGCCACTGGGTTTCGAGTTGCGGATCTGCCGCTTACCCCCTGAATGACCTTGAGCAAGCTAGCGGACCTCTGTGCTTAGTGTTCTCATCTGTGAGGTGGAGGCGGTGGGACTGCCTCCCTCATAGACTGCGGTGGACTCTGGACAAGATGCCGGGCTCAGAGTTCCAAACCAGAAGGGACTCCGGAGTCAGCGTGTCCAGTGGGTGCACTGGGCCGCTGCTCACGCACTTGTCATGATGTGCAAGAGGCGATTTCAGGGATCATCACACGTGTGAGGCCAGACACGCAGGTGCTCAGGGCAACCTGCTGGAAGTGCCAGTGGGTATATTTGACGAGAAAACCCCAGGCCGTGCTTTAAAATGGCTTCATGAGAACCCACCCCTCCAGGAGATAATTTCACGTCAAATAAATGTACATACTCACATACATTCGGAATTTCCACAAAACAACACCTCACCTTTACGCTGGGCACAGCATTTGGATCCTTTCTGTGATTTCACACTCTTTGAGGGATGCTCGTCATGCCCTCTGCACTGACCTTCTGGCCGTTGTAGGTCTGCGGCTGCAGTTCAGGGGCGCTGCTTTGGCCGATGATCTTGAGGCGAGGGGAGTGCGCCTCGCACGCCTGCTGCCGCAGGTGGGCCCGGGGTGCTGGGCACGGCGGTCAGGCGCTGGGCTCGTGCCTGACCTTCTGCCTCCGCTGAGTGTGCCTTTCCATCGGGGATTTAGGTTTGGTTCCAGAACCGAAGGGCGAAATGGAGGAAAACAGAGAGAGGGTCCTCCGACCAGGAGCCAGGAGCCAAGGAGTCCATGGCAGAGGTGACGTCACCGCCGGTGAGAAATGCCAATTCCCCACCCCCGGGGGACCAGGCCCGGAGCAAGAAGGAGGCCCTGGAGGCCCAGCAGAGGTGAGGCTGGCGGGACCCCTGGGCCTGCGGGCTGTTGGGCGCACGGGGCTGGGAGCTCATTGATGTTCTTTCTCTGCCAGCCTGGGGCGAACTGTGGCTCCCACAGGACCTTTCTTTCCCTCCTGCCTGCCGGGGACCCTGCTGAACACGGCCACGTACGCCCAGGCCCTGTCCCATGTTGCGTCCCTGAAAGGTGAGTGTGGCTCTGCTGGCTGGGAGCCTGGCGACGGTGGACCCACCGGCTTTCTCCCGAGCTCATGCTGGCGCCTGGGCTGGTCCAGCTCCCGCTCTCCTGTCAGTCACGGCAGGGTCTGTTTCCACACGCCATCTCGTTTGTGTGCCACGGAGCCTGGGACTAGGTGGCTGTCTCAGGATCACTGTGTCTCATGGGGCTTGTCTGAGGGGCGCTTGTTTCAAAGTGAGTGCTCTGTGCTCATGGATTCTCCTGGTCACATCCTAGGCGGGGCCTGGGAGGGACAATCATCCCAGCTTACAGGCCCTCTGCGTCCATCCGTCCGTCCATCCATCCGTCCGTGGAGCCTGCCACCTGCTGCCCCAGGAACTCCAGCTGGCTGAGGCTCTCACTGTCAGATTTGCTGTCTTATCAGTGGCTGCTGTTGTCTGAGGATGGAAGCCACTTGGGATGTTCTGTCAGATCCAGAGAGAGGAACCCTTGTGGGCTGTCCCTCGGGGATTTCTGGACACCCCCTGCTGGATGAGTGGGCCCCAAGCCTCCTCCTCCTGCAGTGGGTCAGGCTGCTGTGCGCCAGGAGCAGGGCTGGGCCCAGAGAGGGTGGGGGTCCATGTTAGTGTTCCCCCGAGGCCTCGCCTGTCACAGGGGTCTGGGAGGTGGGGTTGCTTCCTGGTTATCGGGGTGGGACAGCCCCCCCTCCCGCCCAGGTGTCCCCAGCTGGTTCTTTGTTAGACTCTGGGGGAGGTAGGAGGGCGTGATGGAGCCTCCCTGGAGTGTCCTGAAGGGAGAGGAAGGCATTCTGGGATAGGGAACAGCATGTGCAAAGATGCCGGTGGGAGGGAGGTGTGTTGGGGCGGAAAACCAGGCTTTTCTGGAGAATGACTGGTATGGTGGGTGCCCATGGGAGAGTGTCCAGGGATGGGAGGTGCCTGAGCTCAAAGGCCTGAATGCCACGCTCCTGGGCTTGGACTTTCCACTGTCGGAGGTGGAGCCTCAAAGCCTGGAGCCACTTCTGGGCGGTCCAGGGAGCTGGGCACAAGGGGCTGAGGCTCAGCGCCACCAGCTCGGGCCTCGCACCCCCTAGCGCTTCCTGCAGCGACTGTGACTGGTACTGGGAGGCCACATAGAGCCCCCCAAGTGCGTCCCTGGGACACATCCACAGGACACAGGGCTGACAGGGCGCCACAGAGGCGGAGTCAGGCCCGAGGGAGGTTGCCAGTGGGACGTGGGTGTCAGCCGGAAGTCTGGAGTTTTATTAGAGCATTTCCATCTTTCACATGTTGCCTCCAAGTCTTTGGGGCCAAACGTGCACACCCTGGGTCGGACCGGCCTGCGGTCGCTGTTCTGAGGGGATTTCTCCCGCCCACACCCCTCTCTGCTTTCTGCTTCCTTCTCCTGCATGTCCTCCCACATAGGTAGCTCCACCTCACTCCTCCTGGGCCTGCCCCCAGCGATGTCCCTGCCTGGCCTGTCCTGACCCTCCCAGCATGTGGCCACTCCAGGTGGCTCCCTGAGCAGCGGCCTGGCCTTTGGCAGCTAAGCCCTGTGGGGAGGGAGGAAAGCGAGCATCTACTGCAAATGGCTTCTGTGCTCGTCCGCATGCAGCCTTGGTTTCCAAGGCTTCAAGGATTCCACACCCGCCTCTAAGGAGGTCCTTAGAGCAGGCGAATCATTATTCGCTGCCTCCCAGCCTGAGGACGGCAGAGATGGTAACACCAGCTAATGCTGACCCAGTGCTGGATTGCTCTGTGCCAGGTACCGAGCCCAGTGTTTTGTGCATCTGTTGTCTCCTGTAACGCTGGGGTGGCCACTATTATTACCCCGATCTGGATCGTGGCCCCTGGCCACGCCACTGGGTTTCGAGTTGCGGATCTGCCGCTTACCCCCTGAATGACCTTGAGCAAGCTAGCGGACCTCTGTGCTTAGTGTTCTCATCTGTGAGGTGGAGGTGGTGGGACTGCCTCCCTCATAGACTGCGGTGGACTCTGGACAAGATGCCGGGCTCAGAGTTCCAAACCAGAAGGGACTCCGGAGTCAGCGTGTCCAGTGGGTGCACTGGGCCGCTGCTCACGCACTTGTCATGATGTACAAGAGGCGATTTCAGGGATCATCACACGTGTGAGGCCAGACACGCAGGTGCTCAGGGCAACCTGCTGGAAGTGCCAGTGGGTATATTTGACGAGAAAACCCCAGGCCGTGCTTTAAAATGGCTTCATGAGAACCCACCCCTCCAGGAGATAATTTCACGTCAAATAAATGTACATACTCACATACATTCGGAATTTCCACAAAACAACACCTCACCTTTACGCTGGGCACAGCATTTGGATCCTTTCTGTGATTTCACACTCTTTGAGGGATGCTCGTCATGCCCTCTGCACTGACCTTCTGGCCGTTGTAGGTCTGCGGCTGCAGTTCAGGGGCGCTGCTTTGGCCGATGATCTTGAGGCGAGGGGAGTGCGCCTCGCACGCCTGCTGCCGCAGGTGGGCCCGGGGTGCTGGGCACGGCGGTCAGGCGCTGGGCTCGTGCCTGACCTTCTGCCTCCGCTGAGTGTGCCTTTCCATCGGGGATTTAGGTTTGGTTCCAGAACCGAAGGGCGAAATGGAGGAAAACAGAGAGAGGGTCCTCCGACCAGGAGCCAGGAGCCAAGGAGTCCATGGCAGAGGTGACGTCACCGCCGGTGAGAAATGCCAATTCCCCACCCCCGGGGGACCAGGCCCGGAGCAAGAAGGAGGCCCTGGAGGCCCAGCAGAGGTGAGGCTGGCGGGACCCCTGGGCCTGCGGGCTGTTGGGCGCACGGGGCTGGGAGCTCATTGATGTTCTTTCTCTGCCAGCCTGGGGCGAACTGTGGCTCCCACAGGACCTTTCTTTCCCTCCTGCCTGCCGGGGACCCTGCTGAACACGGCCACGTACGCCCAGGCCCTGTCCCATGTTGCGTCCCTGAAAGGTGAGTGTGGCTCTGCTGGCTGGGAGCCTGGTGACGGTGGACCCACCGGCTTTCTCCCGAGCTCATGCTCGAGCCTGGGCTGGTCCAGCTCCCGCTCTCCTGTCAGTCACGGCAGGGTCTGTTTCCACACGCCATCTCCTTTGTGTGCCACGGGGCCTGGGACTAGGTGGCTGTCTCAGGATCACTGTGTCTCATGGGGCTTGTCTGAGGGGCGCTTGTTTCAAAGTGAGTGCTCTGTGCTCATGGATTCTCCTGGTCACATCCTAGGCGGGGCCTGGGAGGGACAATCATCCCAGCTTACAGGCCCTCTGCGTCCATCCGTCCGTCCATCCATCCGTCCGTGGAGCCTGCCACCTGCTGCCCCAGGAACTCCAGCTGGCTGAGGCTCTCACTGTCAGATTTGCTGTCTTATCAGTGGCTGCTGTTGTCTGAGGATGGAAGCCACTTGGGATGTTCTGTCAGATCCAGAGAGAGGAACCCTTGTGGGCTGTCCCTCGGGGATTTCTGGACACCCCCTGCTGGATGAGTGGGCCCCAAGCCTCCTCCTCCTGCAGTGGGTCAGGCTGCTGTGCGCCAGGAGCAGGGCTGGGCCCAGAGAGGGTGGGGGTCCATGTTAGTGTTCCCCCGAGGCCTCGCCTGTCACAGGGGTCTGGGAGGTGGGGTTGCTTCCTGGTTATCGGGGTGGGACAGCCCCCCCTCCCGCCCAGGTGTCCCCAGCTGGTTCTTTGTTAGACTCTGGGGGAGGTAGGAGGGCGTGATGGAGCCTCCCTGGAGTGTCCTGAAGGGAGAGGAAGGCATTCTGGGATAGGGAACAGCATGTGCAAAGATGCCGGTGGGAGGGAGGTGTGTTGGGGCGGAAAACCAGGCTTTTCTGGAGAATGACTGGTATGGTGGGTGCCCATGGGAGAGTGTCCAGGGATGGGAGGTGCCTGAGCTCAAAGGCCTGAATGCCACGCTCCTGGGCTTGGACTTTCCACTGTCGGAGGTGGAGCCTCAAAGCCTGGAGCCACTTCTGGGCGGTCCAGGGAGCTGGGCACAAGGGGCTGAGGCTCAGCGCCACCAGCTCGGGCCTCGCACCCCCTAGCGCTTCCTGCAGCGACTGTGACTGGTACTGGGAGGCCACATAGAGCCCCCCAAGTGCGTCCCTGGGACACATCCACAGGACACAGGGCTGACAGGGCGCCACAGAGGCGGAGTCAGGCCCGAGGGAGGTTGCCAGTGGGACGTGGGTGTCAGCCGGAAGTCTGGAGTTTTATTAGAGCATTTCCATCTTTCACATGTTGCCTCCAAGTCTTTGGGGCCAAACGTGCACACCCTGGGTCGGACCGGCCTGCGGTCGCTGTTCTGAGGGGATTTCTCCCGCCCACACCCCTCTCTGCTTTCTGCTTCCTTCTCCTGCATGTCCTCCCGCATAGGTAGCTCCACCTCACTCCTCCTGGGCCTGCCCCCAGCGATGTCCCTGCCTGGCCTGTCCTGACCCTCCCAGCATGTGGCCACTCCAGGTGGCTCCCTGAGCAGCGGCCTGGCCTTTGGCAGCTAAGCCCTGTGGGGAGGGAGGAAAGCGAGCATCTACTGCAAATGGCTTCTGTGCTCGTCCGGCCGTGTGGTCTGTGTTCAGTTCTGCCTTCGTCGGGGGTGCTGTGAGGACCATCAGCGAGGGCCCGGGGGCACAGGTGGCTCTGGGAGCATGGCTGCTGCTGGTTGGTGCTGCATTCGGCAAGGCCGACCCCGGGTGGCCTCCGGAAGGGCTGCTCGGAGCTGGGAGTCCCGGGGCTGCCTCGGGGCTGCTGCTCAGCACAGCCCGCATCAGGCCCGGCCGCCGGCAGGCCCTGGAGATGAGCCTGGGGACCCAGCCTCCACCTCGGCCTTGGGGAGATGTGTGTACCTGCCAGTCAGGTTTGAAGCATCCCTGCGGTTACTGCTCAGTGGTTTTGGGGAGCATGGGTAAGAGGGGCTGGGGCCAGGATGGCTTTCTGACCTTCCCCCAAACTACAGAAATTAAGTTTGTAGCCCAAATGGGGCCCAAGAGACCACCAACCCCAAGTTTCTAGG